GACTTTTCTGTCGTGAGGTGATGGTGGAAGAAGGCAATGAAGTTTCCTGGAAAGTGGAAGGCCTGGAAAATGTCCCAAGCAGTACAAGCTGCACGGGAAAAAAGAAAGACAGCCTCCATATAAACAATTTTTTTTCTTTTTTCTTTTTACTATTATATAAATATGACATAAATTACAACGAAAATTCTCCGTAAATTACATCAATGATTTAAGGTAACGAGACTATTAACAACCATATTTGCTTTACGATAAATATAACCGAAGGTGAATAATTGATTTTATTTTCCAGGTAATTGCTCCTCATGTTTGGGAATGCGAACGTTTTTTCTTTGTCTATGTATTTGAAATTTGTATCTTCCTACTCCCTACAAATTAAAGGACATTTTCAAAGCAGTAAAAACGAGATAGGGATTGTTGGTGACATTTTGTTTAGTCGTATGCATGTTCTTATCACCCATCCCCATCATTAAAGAATTATACAAAACTGTGCATCTCACCCCTCACTTCACGCCAAACCGCCCTTATTTCAAGACTTATCAATACTTTCCTGGAAACTAATTCAACAATAAAAATCTAGACATATGTCAATTGATTTGTCTTTTTGTTTTATACGAATTGATTTGTTTATTATATAACGTTGAGTATTAATAGAGTTTGGACTAAAAATAAAGTGGGGGTGGAAAACTTGAAATCTAGGTGCCTAATGTGTACGGCGGAAGATGTAAATGTCGTTTTTCCTTTAATAAGATAGATATAAATTGGATATGTAAAAAGAACACGAAAGAAAATGATTTTTTATCAAGTTGAAGCAAAATGATATTTCTGGTATTACCTCTCCTCCTTATCAGCATGTGGGTTCATTTTCTGCTCTAATTTTCTATGTCATGATCTGTTTTAATTTAAGAAATTTAAAAGTTAACACATTATCCTAAAATAAAAATCCAATTTACTACTAATTAAAAATAATAATAAAAAATTCTAACACCAAACTAACGGAATAGTTAACATCTAAAGCTGTTTTTTTTTTCTCCTTGCTTCACGTTGTGTTCTCTTGTGTTTTGTGCCTTCTTCCTTGGGTTCTTTTTTTCCTCTTCATGTCTCTGCCCCAATCTTCTTCTTGCTCTTCTAGTAACGTCACAGCCAGTAGAAATAAGAACCCACCAAGAAAAAAAAATTGAGACAACATAATTGAATTGAATTAGTAATCTCACAGTGACAGCTTGAAGTTGAGAAGAACCACGTGCGTAACAAACGCACGAGGCATGTAAGTTCCCTCGATAATTACAATTAAACAGACTCAAAGCTTGTCTGGTGATGATTGGATCCCGCCAAATTTTAAGGAGACTTTGGAAAAGACCAAATGAGAGAGAAATTTTTTAAAAGAAGAAAAAATGGACAAAATTGCCCTATTTATTTTGGGATTTCCTAAAGAATCCTTTATATCTGCATGTCTTTGGTTTCAAAGTTGAGAGAGGTTTTTTTTTTTTTTTTATGGTCCAAAAAAAAAAAAAAGTTGAGAGGTTTTTATGTCTTTTTTTGAAAAAGTTTTGGCTTTTTCCAAAAGTGAAATTTTTTTTTTATGGCTAAAACCTAAATTTACTAAATTGATTTTGGGGGAGAGATATGAATAAGAAAAGAAAAAAAAAGCCATAATGTAAGGAAGAAGGCAAAAAAGATAAGAGGATAGAACGTGAAGTAAGGAGGAGGAAAAAAACAACTTCGGATGTTAACTATCCAATTAGTTGAGTGTTACCGTGTTTTTTTACTTTTTTAATTAGCAGTAAATTGAGTTTTTGTTTTAAAATGATGTGTCAACTTTTATCTCCCTTTACATCTTCATTTACACCCTTGCAATGGAGATGCTCTTAGAGCACTTTCTGGCGAATATGGGTGTAAATACAGCATACAACCCCATTTACACCCAGCCACTAAAGTTGCACTTAGGAAGGAGGAGAGGAAAACTCACACACAGGTCTCATGAGGGCTTGAACCCAATACCACTTAGAAGCACACCAAAAACCCGAGTCAATTCAACTAACACCCTATTGGTGTCATTTTTCCTACCAACCAACCCTAACACCCTATTTGTTGTATTATGTAGGATGATGAATGTTTATGCTTGTTTGATTGTTAGATGAAGAAAGTACGTGGTTAAGCTACGAAAAGTATTATTGAGCATTCAACTGCTTCTCGATCTGAAATAATATAAGATATATAAGATGAAAACCTATATTATTATATAATGGAATTTGTAAAAAAAATATTAAACATTTTATTTTGTCAGAAGCATATCCCTTAAAATAATGGAGAATCGCTAAACTTTTCCGGACATTCTTTTATGTACATTCTTAAAAGCAGTCAAATAAGCACCGCAAGTTTTTTTAGTACTAGGGATATTAGAGTCATATAATATTAAGCAAGGAATCTTCAATCTTGTAATCCTTTCAATAAATAAATAAATTATTGAAAAGGATGCCAAACATAAATGAGAAACCAATCCAAGTTGAAGAAGACTAATATACTCTGCAACTACTGTTAATTTGGTCATCTTCGTATTGGAAGGAAAAGGGATGGCAACTTCTACGAAAAATATATATAAGTTATTCTCCTATGCAAACGTTAGATTCCATATTGTAAATAGGAAGAAAAATATGGAGGGGTAGTAGAAAATACATCGCATCCACGTAGGAGAAAAATATATATACATACGATCTATTTAGAGATCCCTCAAATAAATATTTGAGGGACACCATTTAGGGTCCCTTATGAATTTTTTTTAACGATCCAAACCATCTATGTTTTAAATCTACATTCATAGATCATTCTTGCAAAAAAATTAGACAAATCGAAAACCGTTTCAACATTCAATTGTGTTCTACAAAATTAATGAACACAATGTTTCAAGAAAGTATTAAAATTTCAATAACTCAATTAAGTAGTCAAAAATTGAGTGGTCAAATGATATTGGATTCAAGTGATTTTTTGTAGAGATGATCTTTGAATTATTATCTAAAACATAGATAGTGTGGATTAGTAAAATACAATGCGGAGTGAGTCCTACAAGAGTGTCCCTCAAATAAGCTTATTTGAAGGATTCCTCAATGGAAACTCTCTGTATATATATAAGTTTGTTTAATGAAATACAAGTAACTACTTGAGCAAATAGCATAAGATAATAGGAGTTCAAAAAAATAACATAAGAAAAAGGTATTCCATGCCTCATTCTTTTTTTTTTGGGGTTTCATTTGAGGAAAGAAACCTTGGGGTTTCAATCCTGGGTGCCACGCACGGGGGAAGGAGGAGGTACACAACAACTATGGTAACCCCATTCGACCATTCCTCATTCTTTAGTTCTCTTTCCTAGCTGATTTCTCACTCTTGAAAAAGGGGAAAGAAAGTTATGGCATTCTCTTTGTGTTTGACTAAATTGAAGCGTAAAGTGTTCATAAGTACCAATGTAACTTACAAAAGAAACAAACCTCAAAGGTAAAGCAAGGCAACACAAGAGCAAAGGTATGGTCAACGACGGTAGTAGTGGCAACGACATCGACAAATTCTTCCATGTCAATTGTAGCTAATTCAAGCAGACACAACTTCTTTTCACTCCCCCTCAACCCCTGAAGAGAAAGGGACGTCAGAGTCAAGAAAGAGGCAATATCTCCCTGGAAAAGAGAAACGATTCCTTTTCACTCCCCCTCCCTCATTGAAGAGGAGGGGAGGAGAGCACTTAAATTGCAAGGAGAATGCAAGCACATGTCACAAGAAAAACCAAGCTCTTATACCATGTCAAAACAAAGTAAGGCAAATATTCAATTATACTAATATATTTATTCTTCTCCAATATGGAGGTATTTATATAAAAGTACAACCCTAAATAAAATAGGAAATAAATCTAAATTACAATAGAAAATAAATATCTATTATAATAGTACTAGACAAATAGATAAGTAACTAAAATTCTAACATGGTAAAGAACCGAAATCCTAACTAAATAAGGACTTATCAACAAAGGCATCGTGTGGTTCCAGCCCATGATCCTCCAACGATCAAGTATCAAGTGTGGTGCCGCCCAATGATCCTCCAAAAGTGAAGTATCAATCCTCTAGAGGAGATTATAAAACTGTAAGCAAGCTGTTAAAGGTTTAGATTAAGGATTGAAAACCCTGATAACCTAAAGGGTCAATCGGAATCGAAACATTAGACAAACAACACAAGAATAAAGTTATTGACCGCCACTCAGTTGCAATAGTCTAATTGTCAAGTATTCAGAGTGTTGCTGCCAGGCCAATCAATCATACCATTCTCAGTGGAAATATGTTTTGGCCGTAAAATAATTTCAACTAAACTCTTCTGTTCTTTATATATTATATTTAAGCAATTTTGGAAAAGTGAAAAATTGAACCTAACATATGCGAAAGCGGAGAATTGGACCTAAAACTTCTAGAAAAGTGGAGAACCGGACCTGAAACCTCTTTATATAGTACGTCTTAACCACACACACACACATATATATGTATATAGTACGTCTTAACCACATATATAGTACGGACCTAAAACTTATAGAAAAGTGAAGAACCGGACCTGAAACCTCTTTATATAGTACGTCTTAACCACACACACACACACACATATATGTATATAGTACGTCTTAACCACATATATTGTACGTCTTAATCACCTGAACTACAAATCAGACATATATAAGTACTACAAGTCAGACGTATATAAGTACGTCATAACCACTTGAACTAAAAGCCGAGAAAGATAGATATTTTGCTAAAACTCCTTTTGATGCAAAATAAATAAATAACCTATGATTATGGAAAATTTTGTTACCACATGAGATGTTCAGTGCTCTTTTTGGTGTTCTAGTTGAAATAGGAGGTTCAACCAATGTTTTCAATTGTTTTTCCTCGCACTCAAAAATAGAAAAATAATAAGATAATATTCACCTATCTACAAATTGTTGAAGATGCATATATTCCGAGTGCAAACACAAATTTTTAAAGCTTGAGAACAATCAATCCAAGCCGTCAGATCCTCTGATATATTCAACAAGGTACCGTGAAAAACCATACATGCATTATCCCAACCGAAATTAAAAAGATAAAAAACCAAGCCAAAGGACTTTTTATGACTCGCTAAAATCAGGAGCAACGTCATCATCATCTCTGCAGTTCCATCATACGAGCAAAGTCCTCGAAGCACACGAACCCGTCCCCGTTCTTATCTACCCCCGCTATCATGCGCCGGCAGTCCTCTAAGGTGCACCGGTCGTCCCCTATCGCCGTAAAAACGTTGAAAAGCTCCTCGGCCGATATTTTGCCGTCGTGATCCGAGTCAAAGACCTTGAAAGCATCGCGCAGCTCCGAGTCCGCGGCCGGACCGCAAACTGGGCCGACCCGGTTCAACAGTGCATCGAGGGTTATCGAACCGTTGCCTTCTCGGTCCACCTCGCTCAGCATCAACATCACCTCTTCTTGGCTCGGCGGGTCGGCTCCAAGCCGGCTTAGCAGAGCCTCCAGCTCTTTTCTCGAGACCACTCCGTCGTTGTCTCGGTCTATGAGCTTAAACGCCTGAGCCATGTCGAGCTGCAGATCGGTCGAGAAATCGGACCAGTCGCCCGATCTTTCGGGCAAAACGCTCGTCGGCGTCCGGATACCACCAGCTTCGGCTCCGGTTCCGGGCTTGTGGAGGGAGTCCGAGGACGAGGAGGACGAAGACGACGACGACGCCGTTCCGGACCCGAACGATGGTGGGTCGGAGGAGCGGCGGGACACCGCGGATCGGTCCTTCTTGGACCGGAAGAGGTGTTTCGGGCTGAGACTTTTGGAGCTGATTTTGATGAGCTTCATGACCGAAAATGAAAACCCAGAGGGGAAAAGAGGTTGGAGAGAGAGAAAGCGAGAAGAGTGAGAGGAAGAAGAAGGAGAGAGAAGGGAAAGGATGGGAAGAAGAGAGGACGGGATGAGGGGTTAAATGGTGGGAGTGTAGGCACTGCCATGGCAACTTCCAGGAAGCTTCGTAGTGAACCTTTCCATGCGGCTAATTTATATATGATAATTACGAAAATTCACCGTTGAATTAACAATTAATATCCAATTAATTATGCTTTCATTAAATAGCAATAACAAGTGGGGCCCCACCTATTTTGGTGTGACTCTGGGCTTGTTTGTTTGTTTCTTGGTGAGTTTTGTTTGTTTGGTTTGGGTACGTTTTGCTGACCTTTTGTTGTTAAAGTGAGTTTTCTTTCAGACCCAAAAAAAAAAAGAAAAAAGAAAAAAGTGAGCTCTCTTTTGTACACACCTTTCTATTTCTTTTCTAGAGGGAGGAGATTCTTTGCCGTGTTTGGTTAGCTGGAAAATTTGGGCTTTCGTTTGGTTTACCCGCAATATGTGGCGGTTTTATGATTCTCTAATCTGAGCTGTCATATTGCCATTGCTTGATAGAATTTATTTTGATTGGATTGACCTCCTGCTACAATGATTTTCATCATCGGGTTCACACCACGTAGGTAAAGTGGTTCCTTTCCCCCTGCCCCTACATTTGGGTTTGATTCATAATTTAAAATATCGATAATATTGACGAAATATTGAGAATATTATCGTGTTTAAATATCGAGAACATTATCGTGACTTGTGGGTGTAATTTCAATTTAGTACCTTGAACTCTTATCCTAAAGGCACATTTACTCATGCACTCTCAATTTTAATAATTACATATCCTAAATTTTTCAATTTTTTTGTAATCTAAATCCAACGTTAACTTCACCCAGGGGCGAATCCACAAAGGAGCAAGGGTGGTCAATTGACCCCTGCAACCTCTGAAATCCTCCATTAGAGCAGCCAAAGTTGACCCTCGCAAAGTGTTTGACGAAATGCCCTAAAGGGGCAACCTGTGTCTGTGCGCAGCTGGAGGAGAAGAAGGGCAGCGCAGTTGCCTTGGGTGCAATGTGCGTCTTTTTTTTTTTTTTTTTTTTCGCTTGATGTCAAAACAACGTCGTTCCATTAAATTTTATATAAATTAAAATTTTTTTTTTTAAAAAAAAAACCTATGCCAAAACGCGCACGCCTTCCTTTTTTTTTTATTCGCTCGACGTTAAAAAGATGTCGTTCCACTAAAGGCTTTTTTTTATTTTTTATTTTTTTTAAAACATGGCCAAAACAACGTCGTTTTAGCACAGGTTTAATAATAATAATAATAATAGCGTAGCAAGCTGCTCTGTCTTGCTTGATAATTCCCCTATCCCCAAATGTTAAAACTAATTTATTTTTGCTAAAATATGAAAGCTATGAGAGAATATTTGTTTGTGGGAATTTTCTGTATATTTTTTTCCTTGTATGAGGTCATATTGATAATACAACGAAACCTGAATGAGCAAGTAAATAATAAATTCTTAAATCTATTTACAGTAGGAAATCAGGAATTAAAGTAAATCAATTACAATTATAATAGGAATTCTTGGTGTATAAGGAAAGTAAGTCAATATCCACAAGTCACGCCAACACTCCCCCTCAAGTTGGTGCATAAATGTCACCAATACCCAACTGATCCAGTGAATTATGGAATGCTTTACTGGAAATCGCCTTTGTCAAAATATTCGCCAATTGATCCTCAGATTTCACAAATGGAAACTGAAACACTTTAGCCTCAAGCTTCTGTTTGATGAAGTGTCGATCCACCTCAACATGTTTAGTACGATCATACTGAACCGGATTCT